TTATATAGACAAACTGATTGTTTTCAAAATGCGACAAATGACGTCATCAATATTCTTAAAGTGAGGATATAGAACATAAGCTACTAGCCGGTCCGGGGAGTAGTTTCGTAAAAATTTTGAGTGGTGTATTTTCCGGAAAAAAACGCTCCTTTCTACTCAGTAAGTAAAGAAGCTTCGACTGTGTTCTGTTCTGTTGTAAATTGCGTAGGAAGCGATAGAAGACGAGAGAAGTGTAAGGGGCGGTAAACACTCGACTACGTCGAGTGTTTCTCGAGTTATAGGCTTGAGTGCTCTACCGCTTACTAAGTGCTTTACAACAGAAAAGAGCACAGTCGAGGCTTCTTTGTCTGTTTTATGATAAAGAACCCATTAATTTCCCCACACATTCAGCAAATATTTTCAACCAAACTATTTTCCAAATGAGGAAAATTGGCATTAGCGTGCATCTGTTCTCTGATAAAGCACGCCAAAATACGCCAATCACCATCCTTGTTACGTAACAATTATTTAAACAATTTAAATGACCAAATAGACAACAGCTGTCAATCACAAACTGGGCTTCAGCTAAACCTTCGATTTCGAGTGCCCTTCGAGATAAGAACGATCCCTTCAAAGTTCGCTTGTTAGCTTGATTTTTAAAATAAGGATCGGTTTCTAGTCCAGTGGAAATTGCAAACAAATATAATATCTTTCATCAAAGGATTTGCTAGGTTGAATTTGTTATTTTGTACAGTTGTTCTGTTGTCAATAAGGGCTTCTAGACAGCTATGTTTAACGCAAAAAAATGGTCTGTTTGTCTGAGTCACAAGGAACGTTTAATTTGGGCAACTTTATTATAAAAAGCAGGTATGCATGGCTGTCCACAGGAGCAAACGTCGCGTGGAAACTACACAGGGGTTTCCCTTGAAAACCCACAGGATTTCCGACGCCGAGATTGATATAGAATTACCTTGAGTGGGATTACCTTGGGAATGAGGTCTGCTTGAGTACTTTGAAAGTTTTAGCTGCCATGCATGTCAGTCAATGAAGGAAGTGAGGGATTCTATCCCGTTTAGTATCACGTCACTCGGTGTGCCAGTGACACCGAGTACATGACACCGTGTAATGGCTTTCCACTGTAAGAGCTTAATAAATTTGGAGGCGATCTTAGCTCCTTAGTCGCATTTATTCTACACAAAATGGTGAATTGACAATAAGAAAAAACATTATATCGTGTACTGATTTGCTTTGGATGCAATCCGCAAGTCGGATAGCAGTGCATTGCGTCGTATCTTACTGTTCTCTGTTGAGATGAATATATTTTCTGTAGTGACTGTAGTGTACTTCGCTGTCCACCCTCGTAT